TTGCCCTAAATAGTGAGTGGTGTGAACCTACATCTGCTCCCCTTCTTAATGTGATCTTGTGTCCAGTAGGCTGGCTGCATCTCCACTTTCTTCAGATTGAGATGAAGTTGATCTGATTTTTAGTGTAGTGTGTCCTGGTGTATAGTGAAATCAACTCCATGTCGCTTGCTTTGTCAATATCCTTGTGGTTGCATGCACTGCCTCAATTCACCAAATCGTTGAATGCACAGAATTATGTAAACAATTCTCCATTCTCGTTCATCACCTCACCGAGCGCTTCTCGACCCTTGGTTAGTTCTCTTCCTGTGTTGTCCTCCCCAAGTTTGGCATTCATGTCGCCCATTAGAATTTTGATGTCGCCAACTGCGGTGGGGTCTTGTCCAGTGTTGATTGCAGTTGTCTTTAGAATTCCTCCTTCTTCTCTTCATCTGCATATTATTTGTATCATAACCATTAGTAGAATATAGCATTAGTTCGAATATTATTCCACTGCAGCGCTGTAATTGCTTTTGTTTTGTCAACACTATATTTTCGATACATAATACAGCTGATCTCATGCTTCGTTGAAATATATACACATGTATGAAACAAATTTGACCGCATTTTAATTTTCACAATGACAATGGTCAAGGCTTTTTTATGTAAACGTTTATTATTTCTGCTCTTACAGTTTATCAAGCGAAACTGTCGAAGTTGAACCTAGCCTGTCATTTTTTTGGGTAGTCTAAGCGTAATCAGATAACTGACTTATCTGTGATGAAATTAGATTCACTAATCACGTTTACGATGCTAACGAGGATAAATTACTCTAGATATCTACTTCGTTGATGAATATTAATCTAGTGATAAGATTGAGCTTAGAGAAATCAAAGAATTTGCAAGTGATTTGCTTTACTTGAAGGTGTTCTAAAATTATTATCAGGTTATTGAATGTGATCAAATTGGTGGGTCAAAGGTTCATTATTTCGAACACTGCGCATATCTTTCGAATAGTTGGTTTGTGGGCATATATATGTCACTTTTGTTTCTACGATATACAGTGAATCAATAGAAAAACAGGTCTCCAAAGTTTGCACTTACCAGCTCGACAGCCTGTCACTAAAGTTGTACTACAAAATGACTGGGTTATAATGCTGATGGATGGTAACAAGCAGCGAAACCCAGCCCATATGTTTCATACTATTTGGGACTTTTAGTCTGGAGTGTCTACCACCCACTGAGTGACGTTTTTCCCTCTGTTGCTCAAACGCAGTACGCATTGCGTCAAATGCATGAGCGTGATCCACTGGACTACTGAGTCAAGTGACTCTGGTTCACTCACGGCTTTATTCAGCCTAATTAAAAGTCACTTCTTTTTTTTTTATATCTCATGAACCAGCTGAAAGATATAACTATACAGATATGTTGGTCAGCAACACTCAGTTAAGTTGGTGCTAACCGTTGATTTAACCAAAAGTAAATGGATATGAGAATGCACATGCAAATTAATTTTATTCAATGCTGTTTCCGATAACTTTATTTAATTGGGATTCCTATAGCCTCAAAGTCGATGAAACGTATTTTTCAACATGCAACTGAGATCTGAAAACAAATAGGTTGTACAGTTTATCGGAGTATAAGCTCAATTATTTAGGAGTTGGAAACATATCAATCGACACATACAAATCATATACACAGCTGCATAGATAGTCGTAAAGCAGAAAAAGCATTTTGGCTTCAGCAAATTAAGAAAAGAAAATATATAGCTTTAATGAGCACCAAAAGGTGAAATTTGTATCCGCAACTTCAAGACTTCACCTTTAGTCAAAATATGCGCTCTGCTCTCTATTTTGTGTATCATAGTGGTACATCCCTTGGTATCACAAGTTTGGAAAAATAACTGCAAAATAAATAAGCTTGAAACTTTTGTGATTCTACACTTATGTACACATCACTGTCTTAACATTGCTGCACCCACTGAACTTTATCCACTTAGGGATTCACTTGCTGAGCTGAGTACAGGAGGGAATATCTGAAACCTCACCTCACAGTGTACAACAAGAGAGTAAGTCCAATGGTTCATTTTCCTTGTACCCGTGTGGTCTGAATCATCTATGCATAAAATGGACTAACTCATTTTATGCACAAACGCAAGACCACAAAATAACTAATTTACCAAATATGGAGTTATTTTGAACCAATATACTGCAGGAAATTCAACGAGGAATCGGCACCAAACTGAGCTGAGCCATTCAAGAACATTATAGAAGATTTTAAGTGAACCATCTATTGAAAGAAAGCATTTTTCAAGATACCTACTTCCATTCTTTTGGCCTATTTTAGCACAATGCAATAAAAGAAATATCCAATAAGCATTGGTATTACTGAAATTGAAAACAAAAATTTTGCGGGTGACTGTGACGTCGACAATTTTGAGCTTATTTCGAAATGCTTATGTACAGCAATTTATATTTGAAACGCCATCCAGTCTATAATAGTGTATCAATAACTGATCTAGTTTGGAATTAAATGCAACCACAGTGACTGTATCCTACTGACAATTCTGAAACAGTTTTGTTGTCAATACTCAGATTTGAAGACAGTGTAGATACTATTTATCACAGCTTTTCATGCTGAACCCGAATTTTATCATCTGAATCTGTGACATATGCATGTGTGTCCACCAATTTTCATGCTATTTAAGAGCTGACCACATAGACCACATAATCTTTGTTCTGTCTAAGCAAACCTCCGAACAGTAAGCTACACGTCTGCCGAAGGGAGACTGCAACGTGGTAAAAAACTTAATTCTTGAGCATCTGGTTAATTCTTGTCATAGTTCTCGACGAGAACCTCCTTTCAAAGTAATAAAGTCGAATAAGGCATTCCGAATGGAGTTCAGATTTACCACCCGAACACAGTAGAGGCCTTAGCAGTTCAGTGATCCGAAACTGATCTCTATATTCAGGAAAGTTATGCTCAGTTTCTATTCTTACCTCAGAAATAATCTCTGCAAAATATATTAAGCATTTATTTACTCATTACTTCTTTATTTCTTGTAGGCCTACAGACAGTTTCTGATGATGTTGAGTTGACACATTGGCTGTCGATAGACATATATTTTGTTGTAACTATAATTATCTTCGTACAGCTTCTGGAGATGAATCGCTGAACGGAAAATCTTATCGGCTGAAATCGTCTTTCATTAGCTTCTCATTATCTAATGAGAATATTTCGATGGCAATATGCATGTTTATACTTCTTGAAGAACATGATGTTCATCAGATTTTAAAAGAATTATATTTCGATAATTCACGACTGATATTTTGCTGCATAGGCTAACTTCAACAGCATACGTTTTTCTCAGTAAACCAATGTAATGTTTTCTTTTAGAAAATGATGAGTGTTGCAGTGTTTAACGAAATTCACATATTCATCTAATCTACAATATTATTTAGTTGAGCTTACATGATTCTACGCCTTTCCATGCAAACATTTTGGATTAGTTTTTCATCGAAAGTTATATTAAGTATTGGTTATTTCATACAGAAATGCTTTTTGTTTTCTTCAGTGTAGGAGTATAACATTATTTATTTATTTTTATTTTCGGCGGAAATCATAACATGTCATTTGGGTACTGGAATTTTTTTCTAATCTTACTTCTGTCAAATACCCTCGAATGTACTTTGATCACGAGTATAAAACCAGTTTCCTTTTTTTCATAAATTTGACACCATTTCATACTCATCCACTTGTGTTAACATTCTTGAATTTTTTTCTTACTAGATGCAAGATTTTTAGTTAATGTGTTCACCAGCTTACTTTACTGATCAACAAATAGTGTGATTATTGATGTCAAAACGCCTGCCCGAAACATGGTTTCCTGTTTCGTCAAAGCTCATGCCTCAGTGTAATACTCCAATTAGTAAGGTGTTGGTTTTGTGCCACCACGAATTCACACTGAAGGTTTAGAAGTGCAAATACTTCAGCACTTCTAATATTTACAAATGTATACACATAATGTTTTTGTTTATGTGTTGGCTGGCGTGCTATCTTTTCTACTAAGAACCCGTCAGATAGATATCCTGGTACCACAGCGGGTGGTTGTTTTTTCACTGAGACACAAACTCAATAATTATTGTTCCAAACAACTAATCGTTATGCAATAAACCACAGAGCAAAGAAAGCCATCTCATGTCCAACGGGTACAAGTTGTTATTTATTGATACTCGTAATTCCCGTTGGTTTACTCTATCGGATTGCTGTCACTGGATGCCAATGCTAGCCACCAAACGCACTCCTACACATCAGAGGTTAAGTAGTTCGTAACAATATAGCAGCCAGAAATTATACGTACGAATAAATAAGAAAACTTATGCATAGTTTGTGACAGAATAGATTTGTTTCTAGACCAGAAGAAGACTTACTTCAATGATTTACCACTACCACAAGCCTCATGCAGGGTATTTCTTACAATTATTTACGCAATCTAAAATGAAAATTTCCTCTATCACAGTCCGCAAGTTTTGCTCTTGCTCAAACTACGTAGGCTTATTGTTATTTCAGTGAAAGTTTGGCTGGGAATGATTAGTTTCGTATCATATTTTGCCTAAAGATGAACTTTAATGCGTTTCATTTGATTCATTCTTCTAGTCAAATAAAAGATTACAGAATTAACGTTTATAGATTGATAAAGTTATTGAATTATATTACGATGCACATCCTGAGCGCATAAACATGAGCAACTAGCTCCTACAATGGTAAGTCATTATAAGTCTGGCAAGTAACTTCCGAACCAAATAAAAGTCTCCTACATTTTAGATTTATTTAGCAAATCAGAAAGATAATTGACCGATTTCCTAAACTACAGAACATCTCGAATACACTGGAATTTTTTCCGGTTATTTTTTCTTTTCTTCATAAGATTTGCTTGCAGTCAATCATTTTTATTCAGGTACTCTTATCACAAAAAGACAAAAACCTCAAGTAAAAGGTGTAAAACTAGAAAGAACGGTACTTACATTCATCAAACATGAAATTCCGTAGCACGAAAATTTACCGGAACAGTAAAAGTAATCTGGTTCAACTTCAGTGATATTACATTGCTGTCTGGTTGGTTGAAATTTCCACGAACAGAATTCCTTCAAGATTCCACCGTTAGACCAATCAAATTATAGTTGTATGTTGTTGTAAAGATAGTAAGAAACTTTCGATTGGAAAAAATCAAATCGTTATGGAAAAAAAATAACTTTCAAAATATGAAGTATATTCTACAAGGAGGAAGAAAGATTTGATTCATGATTAAAAAAGCATCCATGATTACAGTCTGAAAATCAAGCCTTCAGTTTTGTAAATGTAAATTTGAAAGTTTCTAGACAGTTATTATGGTGATGTTTTATAATCCGCTTTCCTAAACGGAAGTTTTAGTACAGACGCAGCACCGTAATCCCAGTGATTTAGAATATCGCTGAAGATCTGGCATGCGAAATGATTTACATATCTCTGCCTCTACTATCAATTTGTAGCGTTATTTTCTGAAAAAGAATTTTCGTTTGATGGACTGGAAATCAGACTATAGTCCCACAGTTCGTCTTTCTATCTTGGTAAAACAAATAAGTAAACACTGGAGTAGTAAATATCAATGTAGTTATGGAATGAAGCCATTTATGTTATCTAGTCAAAGTGAATATTTCAAACCACTGGTTTCTGAGTCACCTGCATGCATGAAAATAATAGTTCAAGTAGTACTCTTACTTTAGTTGTACATTTAAATGAGAAATAAATCAATTGACACAAACGCCTGAAAAGAAAAGAAACTAAAGCACGTTTTGAAAAACGCCAGATGAAGGTTTGAAGAGACTTCTGAACGGGAAACAATATTAATTCTGAAATCAGTCAAAGGCAGTTAAACATAGACTTCAAGCAATTTTCTTGCACTCAGAAAGTCAGCGAACCAAAAAAGACAGTACAGAAGAAATAAAGAAAGTTAAGGACATTATCACCTGAATTATTCAATTTCCCGCTAAAGGTATATATTATTAATATTATAATAATTAAATGTCCTTTGGGTTCCTAGTGGAACACGGCTTCAGTAGCACGTCTCCATTTCACTCCCTTCTCTGCAATCTTTTGAACCTGCCTCCACGACAGCCCACAAGCTCACATTTCTTCTTCACACCACCTCTTCCACGTCACCCTCGAACGCCCAACTCGCCGTTTCCCATCTCGGTTCCACTCAACGGCTTGACGCGTGATGTCCCCAGTCGGCCTTCTCAGTGTATACCCAATACATCTGCATATTCGTTGGGTAATAGGTTCTTGCTTCGTTGGCTCATTGCCAGGCCACAGTTCCTTGCTGCTTATTCTTTCTGCCCATCTGAGCCTCAGTAACGAGCGTAAGCAGTTGTTGATAAATGTCGGTAGTTTGTTGGAAATCCCTTTGGTAACGCGCCAAGTCTCTCAACCATCACATAGAAGCACTGACTTTTTATTGGTGTTGAAAATCCGAATCCTGTTCACGCTTTGTGCTGAGTGCAGTAGATCTCCACACTGCTTTCACATTAATGAACGCCTGTCTTGCTGTTTTTCCGATCCTGGCTGGATTTGACGTCCTCGTCTGTGCCTGTGCCGCCTGTAGTTGAAAGAGTGCTGCCTAGATAGGTGAAACAGGTTACTTCCTTCAAGTTTCTCCCGTTGATGATGATTGGTGCTTGTTGTTGTTGCTGATGGCTTTGGCGGGGTATCTTCATCACCTCTGTCTTCTCCACGTTCACCTGAAGGAAGTCCCGTCTTCGCTGCGCTGCCCCTTCTGTCAACTTGTTAGTTTCCGCCTGTAGATCTTCACGTTTGTGTGACATCAGACACAAGTCATCGGCAAAATCCAAATCTTCTAGCTTCTTTTCCCCAATCCAGCGTATCCCCCTCTTCTCGCTCCCCACAGTTGTTTCTTGCATGATCCAGTCCAGTCCAGTCCAGTCCAGTCCAGTCGACCACAATCAGGAATATCATGGGTGATAGTAGACAGCCTTGTCTTACTCCTGTCACTCTTCGCTTCAAAGGCATCACTGAGCTTGACATTGTGAATCACTTGGCGTGTAGCATCACATAGCATATAGCTGTTGAATGAGATGGATAAAGGTTTGTGGCACCAACACCTCAGTGTTGAAGCAGTTTCCAAATTACTTCTCGGTCGACGCTGTCGAAGGCCTTCTCAAAGTCAATGAAGTTGAGGTGGAGATCCAGTTGACTGCCATTCTATACTCTGTTCAACGATGATGCGTAGCGTAGCGTTGCAATTCGATGCGCACATGATTTGTCCTTCCTGAAGATAGCCAGCCAGCCAGCCACCCAGCCAAGCAGCCAGCCAAGCAGCCAGTCAGTCAGCCAGCCAGCCTGTCCCGGTTGTCATTTTGAATCCAGTGCATCCTTTAGTCTCTCCAGGATGATGCAGTTGTTATTTTCCTCAAGGTGGACAGCAGCATGATACCACTCCAGTTCTCTCGAACACTAAGGTCACCCTTCTTAGGGAGTTTGACAAGGTGGCCCCTCTTCCAATCAATGTGCAGGTACCTTTCCATCCCTCCTTCCAGACCTTCAGCAATAGTGGTGTGAGCATGTCCGCTGTTGTCCCTGTGTCTGCTCTCAATGCTTCATGTGAATGTCCATCTGGTCGAACTTTTTCTTTACCTGGTCTTAGGACTGTCTTGTAACTAGTGAACTGGTTGAGCTGGTCTCTTACAAAGTATTCTGCAACATTATTGTAATGGAGTTTTTGGATAACCCCCATTCTATTAGCGCGTGAATGGTTGTTCGGAACTAAATGCATGCTAACTGGCATCTATTTTTGTGTATTATTTAACTTTTTATGCATGAAATTGTTGGTTTCATTGACATGAATATTGGTACTTAGTGGACAGTTAATTCAGTTTTATATGCAGATGACCTAGACTGCCAAATATATATACGGACACTAGGTGTAACCTTGTCTGTTCCATTTCTCAAGGTTTGGAGGGTGAAACAATCAGACTCATCATTCAGATCAACTGTGTGTGTTTAGCTAATTACGTGCAAGGCCATAGCATGAAGTAAACCAATAATAAGCAGTAATCAACCCGTTGAGGTTGGTATAACTTCTGAAGTAAGTGAAGTAATGAAGGCCTTCACTGCCAATACCTAAACCGGGAGAAGGTGCCGATCAATTTTGAGGCATAATCTTTTATTTAACAAGTGAATGTAGCATTCTATATTAGATTTGTTTATTTGATTTATAACACAGTGATATGGTATTATTTACTTGATGACGTTTCGAGCATAGATTATTGCTCACAATCACATCAGTGTAATCACATAACTTTTTACATTCGATTTTTATAGTTGTGTGATTACATTGATATGGTTATTAGCAATAATTTATGCTCTAAACATCATCAGGCAAATAATACTATATCACTGTGTTATAAGTCAGATAAACAAATCTAATATGGAATTGAATTCTACCATAGTGCCCAAGTTTTTCACCTATATTAATGTAAGTAGCATGTCTGAAGTATTCAAAGGACTATGCATTTTGTCAGCACCTTTTAACAACAGGACAATGTTATCTATGCACTTCGGGCAAACTAAGTGCGTATCCGGGAGTCAGTGTATCGCAGAAGAGTGAAAGTCACCAAGGTTATGACCATCAGCACATCTTTTAAAAAATTTGTTAGTGATAATCCATAACGGACACAACTGACTGTCTTCACTAATGACAACTCTGCATTACCCATTACTCAGCAGTTGTCCTTGGTTAGCATTAAATAATGCTTCAGTACTCTGTTTATAGTCCGACACTGAGAAACATCATAATTGACAACCGACCATCATATTCACTTGCTAGAATATCGCTATTATTCGGTGTCAGTGAGTATGTCAGTGTTTCATGACAAATCTAAAGGTAAACACTTGGTGGATGAACTGACACGTAACTTTCAAACCTACTTCGTTTCCTTGAGTTCCATGTTCCCCGGATCATCTTCGGAGTAGCACAACTATGGTTTCTAGAACCTTGAACAATATCTTGCTTTTGAAATCGGATTATGAATTGAATTATTCACACATGTAATTATCTGGAACCAGTAATTTAGTTGGCAGAAGTTATAACGAGGAATTTGAAATGAATGCAAAAATTTTAGTCAGTACCAATTGAGCAGTTCTAGAAGAAAGTTCGCACAAGTTCAGCCACACAGTGGTGGAAACCTATTTAAATTTCATTTAAATGACAACCAATGGGTTGACAGCAATAGTCTTAGTACCACGGAATGGCAATAATGAATGAGGCAATCTTTACAATTGCACTTAATATTCATAAATTGGCCAAACTATTGCGATCATCATATATCTGCCTGAATAGCAACAAATCAAAACTGGTCTCCCAATGCCTGTCACAAGAAAACTTTCTTCCTATCTAAAAACTGGAATAATCAACGATCTCAACCAGTCCGACGCGACTATCTCTGAAATCTGTTCGATGCCTTTTGTGGTTGGAGTAGACGCAGACGTAGTAAGACCAGCAATCCTCTCCGAATCCTCCTAGTTATGACATAGCAACAAGATCCATTTTCATCCACTGTTGATATGACTTTACTGGATGTCATGTGTGACAGCGCCTTATCTCACAGGATGCTCACTATAACGTACAATGCCATATTCCTGGATTAGCTCCGTAGCTAATTTGTTTAGTGTGGTGGTGTGGGTATGTGATTCTACTGATTCAGTCATAACGATGACCGCAGACGTGATTGGTCTCGAATAAACATGCCAAGTCTTGTGTACTCAGTCTACTCACAGGATGAGTCACGCAATTCCACTTTCCAAACGAACCGCTTCCAACAGAACACAAATGTTGGTGCCTTTTATCCGTATATTTCAAAGGAACTCATTCATCTGCATCTGAAAGTAAGTTAGCTGACCACACAGCATCATAATTTAAAAAGGAGAAACAACCGATTTCAAGCAGAAAGGATGGTTAAAATGCACCATAATAGATTTCACTTAAAGTGCAGTTATTCGCTGAGAA